TGTGTATTTTACCCACTTCCTAACTTGTTATTAGTCGAATCTACTGACCAATAAACTCGCTTGTTGTGAATTAGTTGTCGGATGGCATAAAATTCACAACAAGCGAGTTTATTGGTCTGTTGAGACGACTAGAAAGGGTTAGGAGATAGATAAGATATACATATTAGTTATGGAATGTGTCTAGAACACTGTAGAATTAGGAAATGAAAGGTAGTTGATTGACCAATGCTGGAAAGTGGCGAAATTAATACATCCCCAAAGTGCGCAGAAAATCCTGCGTAAATTGCACAATATTTGCATTACGGGATCTGTAGTGTTATGGTCAAAGACTAAGATATAAAAACATAACGCTACAGTTTTGCAGCATCATTTATATATTTAAAGAATACGGATGGTTGTGAGGGGAAACCTGGAGATAAATATGTGTTTTAGCTAAAATAAGGACTTGCAAATTTTAAAAGTATTTTTTCAGTCTCTAGATAAGTAGTCATAAAATTGAGCATAAATTGAGTATAAAAGTATATTAATTAAGGTATACTGCAAGGTATAAGATACAGATGGAGGTCTTCCTTTTCTGTGTCATGTTTCTTAATTTAATGAAGAAATCCACAGTCAGATCAATTCAAGACGTTTTAAATGCCCATTTTGTTACGTTTTTCAATTTTAGGTATAACCAAGTATCACCTTCCTAGACAACGGTTTTCGTCACGATTCCAAGACGCATCTCTAAAGTCTGAATCTATTAATGAAAATCGTAAATCAATACAATATAATTATGACTCAGCATGTAAACACAGTGATAGGGGGAAAAGTTTGTGTTTGATTCATTTTTTTAAAGAAATAAAATAAAGCGATATAAAAATATGATATGTTTTATATTTAATCTGAAGAACTTAAAAATCAGTGCATTGGTACACCCTAGAGTTTATCACGAGCATTTAGTTTATATATAAACGTCTAATACCCTACTTTTAGTTTGAAGAAACCTATTAAATGGTAGATAATTGTTGAATTGGATTGGACCAATGATCCTATAGCCATGGGTGTGAGAAGCAATAATTGTCAAATTGTATGTGGAGATAACGAACAGTATTGAAGCTCAAAAGTCCATTAAACAATACACAATAGGAGCAGAGCAAACACAGACCTCGAAAACATCAGAAATGGGATCAGGTGCCATGGAAGAGTGAGCATCCCCTTCCGACCGGTCACACCTGCCGTGTGCTCCTTGTCATGATCGGGAAATAACGGGAAAATCAGTGTGTAATTCGGTGTGTAAATAATGGCCTTAGGCTAACAATTAGTATGAAAAACGTCAGTCAGCATTTGACTGATAATTTGCTGAAAAGGCCATTGTAACGACCATAGAACTTACGAAATGATGACTTTAAACGAGACTGCTGATATTCTTGTTTCATCAACTTGTTTGTCAATAATTTACCTCGTTTTAGAAATTGTACATACGTAGAGCATGCTCTTGCGTATCGAATCAACTGAGAGATATAAACCCCCTATGCAGGTGATGAAGGTATATTGCTGCATAAGTAAGGGAAGTTGACGATTGAAAAGTTAAAGTCAGCACGTTTATCATAAAGCTTGGTTGTAAGATTACCATTAACGTCTTTTTCAAGTAAAATATCCAAATATGAAACAGATGTGTCAGACTCTGTGGTATCTTTTATCTCAAGCTCACCGGGATATATCGTATCGACATAAGAATGGAAATAACCATTGTTAATTGACAATACGTCGTCGATATATCTAAATGTCGAGTTGAAGGCCACAGCAAGTGTTTTCTTCTTTTCACGTATAAGATTTTGGACAAATTATATGCTTCATATGAATACAGAAAAAAGTCTGCTAATAACGGGGTGCAATTGGTACCCATGGGAATTCCAATTGTTTGTTGGAAGACCTGGTCTCCAAAAACCACATAGATATTGTCAATCAGAAACCCAAGCATCTTTTTAATGTCAACTTCAGAGTACTTGTGTGTATAATCAGAATGTTTTTAACAAAATAATTTTGTAAATGACCAATGACAAGGTAAGTAAATTTACGAGTTCCATTTTTATTGAAAAAGTAGCTAGGTGTCAGTAATATCAAAAAGCCTGGACTATAATTTATCGTGGGGAATGGTTGTGCATAAAGTTGAAAAGTCGTAAGTTTTTAAGCTGTTGATTTTGGTAAAATTCTGGGATTTCAAATTTTCACAAAGTTCCTTAGAATTTTTACGGATCCACATCTGATTTACACCACTTCTCGAATGTACTGTTGCACAGTACTCTTGAAGTTTCTCCTTCACAGAAAAATAGGAATATTATTTTATTTAAATTTTTTTTTACAACTTTTCCATATTTAAGCGACTTCTGAATAAATGTGAAATGTTGCAGATTTGGCATACATGTATATACGGAAAATAATACCCTGAACTTAGGAGCAAGAGGGCATAGTACACTTTGTTCACTGTGCACAAGCAAAGGTCACCAATTATTATTTTTTGTATCATAAACGTCCCTTATTCAGGTAGCAATGTACCATTATCACCTGGGTCGCCCGCGTGGCGCAGTGGTTTGAGCGTTCGCTCTAGAGTCGCGGAGTAAGGAGTTGATCCTTATGTAGCGGGTTCGAATCCCACTGTGGGATGTGGAGACCGGTCCTTCGGATGAGATCGTTTAAACCGAGGTCCTGTGTCGCAGTAGGTGCTGGCACGAAAAAGATCCCTCGCTGCTCAACGGCCCTTAGTGCCGAGTATAGGTCAAAATTTGTAGCTCTCCACCGGCAAGTAGTGGCGTCTCCATATGAGTGAAAAATTCTCGAGAGGGGCGTTAAACAATAAACAAACAAACAAACAAAACCATCGTCACCTGCATATAGAGTTGTGTCTCCCAGTTGATCATATCAATACGCAAGATTGTGTTCTACGTACGAACAATTTCTAGATGAGGCACACTATTGACAAAAATGTTGATAATACAAGGATATCAACAGTCTTCTTTAAAGTCAACAGTTTGCAAATTCTATGTCCTATACACTGGCCCTGTTATCAAATACAATCTCCTCAAGTCAAATTTTGACTGGCTTTTTATTTTTACTCAAATTCTTAGGACATCATTTTCACACATTGTGTATGGATTTTTCCATTTACCCGATCATGACAAGGTGCAGGGGATGCTTACTTCTCCATGGCACTTGATCCCACCTGATGTTTTTGGAGATCCATATTTGCTCTCCTCCCGGTTTGTCTTCTTCGAGTGGACTTTTAAGCTTGATTGCTGTTCGTTTTCTTTGTAGATCATTTTTGATACTATGGAATCATCATTGTTCGTGGGGGATCAATGTTCGTGGATTTCGTGGGTCACCCTTACCCACGAATTTACATCCCTACGAACATTTTTGTCAACGTACTGATTAATTAAATCTACCAAATAAACGAGCTGCCAACGAAATTACATCCCCACGAACCAATAAAATTTTGCTTGCCCACAAACATTGACCCCCAGGAATTTAAATGATTCCACAGTAAAATATCGAAAATCCTATCCTATATAAAGAATATTAAGAAACACTTTAGATCATTTTGGATTTTATATTTGTGAGAAGAAACATTAGAAAACACTTTGAATTACACTAAAGGATTCTCAAACAGAAAGAGGAACAAAAAACAAACATTTTTGGATATCTTTTTACAGGAAAAAATTTAAAATTGTTTTATTTGCAATAAAATGCTTTAGAGTTAAAAATTTAAATATGTCAAGAAAAGTCGGATAGACGTTAATTCGATATATCCTACTGAACCTGAAGTAAAAGGCACTACAGAGTCTGACACATCAGTTTCATATTTGGATGTTTACTAGAGAAAGATTTCACACTGTTGACAACTAAACTTTATGATAAACGTGGTGACTTCTATCGTGAACCTCCCCATTTTTGTAACATTATACTATTATCACCTGCATATGAGGTTTATGTCTCACAGTTGATTCGATACGCAATCTAGAGCACGTTCTACTTACGAACAATTTCTAAAACAAAGCAGGCTATTGACAAGTAAGTTGATGATAGAAGGATATCAACAATTTCGTGAATCAAGTTTTACATTTTGTAATTCATAGGATAAAGACATTGCTTGGCATAACAATAAGAATTCTTTAATTATGCTTTTTCGTATTAACTGTAAACAAAATAAATATTTAAAACATCAAAACAAACGAACTTTTTAAAATTTTATTTTTAAACCATCATTTCTCAAAACTTATTTGTTCTTGAACAAGAAAGGGTTGTTGTAAATGTTATACATTCAGGTACATGTGGCTATAAAGTCATACCAATTTTTTATTCTTATAAAAATGTAATAAATTATTTTAAAAGTATGCATTACTCAGGTGAAAAAGGGGTTTACAATACTTCAATTTATACAAATGTTGTTTTATCCAAAATGCTTGAAAATAATTCAAAATACCCGTATGCCAATTGTACAACACAAGTCTTCAATTAATGCTTGTAAATGTGATTTCTTCAGTTTAATATTTTCATCTTTATCATTCCTTGTGTACCTTTTTTTAAAAAGCCAACACTGATTCGTATCAGAAGGAATGACGCTGCTTGTTTAATTTTCCTAGTTATATACATGTAGCAGAAATTTTTAATAAATCGTGTAATGAATAAAATACAATTGTAAAGTTGCAAATCAAAATATTCAGCAATCTGGAAAGTTTGGATAGAGAATATACATGACTGTGTATATGCATGTTTTCAGGGAATGAATTTAATGAAATGACAAACTTGTAGACAGTATTCTGTGAAAAGATACTTATGTTTGCTTTGCCTTTTTGTACAAACATTGCAACTTTGAACATAACTATAGATCAGTTGGATACTTCTTAAAGATGTTGATGCACCTCTTTGAACAATATACATATTTGTACTGCAGAATCTACAATATCTTTCTTTCCCTTGTAAATGATTGTATGAATTATGAATGCATCAAGACAAGAAAATGAAATAGTAAATAATTTATTAACTTCACAATCAGTTGTGGACTTTTAAAAAGACTCCGACACTTTCTGAAAGAGAGAGAAAGAATGACGCAATCAGTTTTCAGTTTCAATCAGTTTTTAAAATAGAGTGGGAGGCGGCATCAAATGTACATTTGTGAGTAATGCTAAGGTACTTAGCGTAATTTTTATTTTATTTATTTATTTATTTTTTTTTTTTTGATTATCAAGAACAGTTTTTTTTCTATTATTGCCAATGAAACATTAAATATGTACCTCTGGTTTTTCCAACCCTAATCCAACACGGCACTTCCTGTCAATTTCACGATGGTGATTTTTAATCATCTCTTTCGGTTTCTGCTGCAATGCAACATTAGCCTCTTCTGCGCACTCTTTGACCTCAAAGACCCCTCCACAGCCCTTGAACACCCACCATTCTTTGCTATCTGCTCCGATTCCGTATTTTTCCTCTTTGGGTTCACATTTGTAGTACGAGTAGCGTTCTAAAAGCTTTACAGATTCAATAAAGGAGTTGTTGAAGCGAGTTTCTATCACAATGGGCTTTTTGAACATGCTGTCGGCGCATAACGGATACCTGGCACACTCCACTGAAAAAAGAATAAGAGATTTACTTGTGATGATAAACAATACATATAGGTCTATGTTTGCTCTTTTCAAATATTAAAATATCTCTTACCAATTACAAAGCAGTTAAAACTCACTAGCGATATGAAAACAATCTTTAAGTTATTTGAAATTAACTATGTACCTACATTGTGCTAGTGTAATGCATATTGTAGCAGCGAGATAGAGGGTCACTCCAAAGAATCCAGAGTAATTCATCCTGTAAATAAATGAAACTCACAATTGATAAACGATTTCCAAAAAGTAACTAATTCAAAGAAGAATATTAATTATACTAATAATCAATTAACAAAAGAAAAATTGACTGCATGGTGTTTTATTGATACAATTTGTGCTTTATGTTCATTAATACTTTCATTCAGTGTCAATTACTAGAAAAGAATGTCTCAAGGTATTGCCGTTAAAAGTAGTATTCGAGAGCAATATGGTTTTGGTGGATGAAATTCAGAAATCAAATCAAGGAAAAAGTTCCACAAACGGGGGTGGTGGGGTGGTGGTGGTGTAAGGATTCTTCTATAGATTGTATCGTGGTCGAAGAAAAATTGTCGTGCAGTATCTTGTTATATTTCGAGTATTTCTGGAGAACTTATGAAAATAAGAAATTTAGTGTGTGAAAAATTACAGGTATTTTACATTTCGACTTAGACAAACTTGAAAAATGCTAATGTAAAGGACAGTTTTCCTTTTAATTTTAATACTAATCAGAAAACAAATATAGTTTAAAATCTGCTTATATTTGATAACCAGGTGATTTTGTCTTTGCCCCGTTGGCTAGGACTTACTTGTCATCGTGTTATTTGACCACACTTGTTTTAATGATTTATTGAACATGAATATGCCAATCAATTTAGTTACCTGCAAAACAGTGCAATACAAACTGATTTTAAAAAAAGATAACATTTAAAAAAAAATCGAAATATCGCTAAATTTTACTAGATTAATCATGTATCAATATTACGTAAAACACATCACGTACAGTACACACTGTACTAATTATTGGTTAATGCTTCCGGCATGGCTATAACAAAGATCATCGAATGACAGGACTTTATTATGCTCTCCTCAAGGTAACTGATCGGAAATCATGATCTAAATATGGATTTCGTCTTTAAATCAAGTAACTCGCAAGATATTAATATACGTTTGTAGGGAAGGGGGGTTATAAGCAAATTATCTCCTTATCATTCTTTTTAAGAATATTTTTTTTTTAAAAAAATGCACATGACTGTATATAACGAGCAATGTTTCCTCTTTATAAATTCTCCTTTCTGAATTACATTATAAATATTAATAATCGCCTAGTTATGACAATATATGCAAATTTACTTATGATCAACATAGTTATATACATACATGTATATAGATAAATTAACTGTAAATTTTGATTGTGAAACATGCAATCTATGTAGTAATAGTGGTGGAAATTGGGATATGCAGAGAGAGAGAGAGAGAGACAGACAGACAGAGAGAATGTTTGCAGGATAAATATGATTGATAAGTGATGGGAAAGTGTTGCAACAGCTGGAAAAAGACGAGCTTTATTCCAAATTCTGGATTATAATAGACAATATATCATATAAACTGTTTTTTCAAATATTAAAATTGTCCCACATATTCCTATTAAAAACTTCAGGTAGGTCAATTACAGTACATGTAAATGAACTTTAAAATTAAAATGAATAATGAAGAGTAAAACAGTTTGTGCTCTGTCTTAGCAATTCCCAAAGAATGGACGTTTATAATTTACCCAGGGTCTTTGATTTAAAAATCATAAATTGTGAATTTGTACAAAAACATCGTAAAAGAAAACACCTGGGGACTACAAGTCAGAAGTAATGAATGCTCAGGATTTTCACTTCTCTGTTTTAGTTCTGTTCAAATGATTCGTGATGAATTCCAACTATGCTGACATTTTTTTTAATGAAATAGACAAAATCATAATCATTTCATGCCAAAAGTAAAAATTATTTCTCGCAATATTGTTCATACTCGAAACAAAGAATATAACTTACCTTGCAGACGACATGTTTTAATATGGCTGAAGGCAACACCAGTAAAACACAAAGGAATGATGGGAGATATATAAAAATATTCTTGTCCTAGGGTAACTCATGCGTTAACTGCACGTTCTTTATATGCTTTGATTTTTGACAGCAATTTTGAGAAAGAAGGCAACTTATTTGTAATAAAAGAGAAATTCATCGCAGAATTATTTTTTTGTCTATTGTATTTCTAAATAATCTTCCATTATATATATATATATATATATATATATATATATATATATATATATATATATATATATATATATATATATATATATATATATATATAAACTTTATAAACTTGATCTATTGTCTGATCAACTGCTTAGAGCTTGTTGCTGGGTCTTTTCATTGTCGGGTCTTTTTGGAGTTGTCGGGTATTCGGGAGTTGTCGAGTCAAATACCCAACAATTATAGACCCAACGATTAATCCTCCTATTTCCTTATACTTGGAAAAATGTTTAAACTAAATTGTTAGGCCTAACGTTGTATTGAAGTTCATGAATTGTCATTGTTCAATCAAAAACCGCTTGATAATGGCGCGAAATTAGATGCGGAATGAATGGAGATACTAGTATGCCGAAGTTCGAGATCTGCAATTCGGAAGGATCCAGAAAGTATAATTAATTAAATACGATGCAGGGTATTTATACATTGTCTCATCTACACTTATTTAGTAGGGTCCATGGGAATTTTTTTTCTTCTAATTTTAATAAGAGCAGTAACAAATACATGTATAAATCAATATTTAAAAGCCAAAAGGCTTAAGCCACTTGTTTTATAATGGAAATCGAAATTCCTCTACCCAGTTTTGCCTTGACTAAAAAACTAAAAGGAAAGGTACAGGAACAATGTCGGGATTTTTAAAAGGTTTATCTTTTCTTTATAAACAAGTATTGTGCCATCTTAACATCAACATAGTTATATGCCAAGCACATCACTATCAAACTGCACATGTTTTTTTTTTCTATTGCTTGCAGACGAAATAAACGTAAAAAACCTAATATGATGGTGGCCAACGAATTTATTGAAAGATAAAGGTATTTAGAATTCCCTAAAAAAAGTTTGGATTAGTGATGAGATACGTAAGAACATGTTATCATGTGCCTTTCAGTTCCATGTACATGGATTGCTCCTGGTTTATATTAAATAAATTATACCAAAACAACACAAGGGAGGACACCATCCTGGACCCCTTCCTTGCTTCAACCTAATTCACTTTATTTTCCTGTATTCTACTGACTCAGTCACTAGTAATCATTCTCCTAAAGTATGATGCTTGAATTATTCTCGGACAATCTGATCAAAATCCGATCCTTTGATCCGCTCACATAGATCGCTACACAAGGATCTTAAGGCAACTCCATTTAGGGTCATCTCCTGGTGACCTTTCTATTAAAACATTCATTAAAATTTTGACCAGTCAGAGAGATCGTACTTAAGCGATATTCGGGAAAATGAATATAGAAGTGAAAGTACCTCTGGAAAAGATCTTATCATTTCGTACAAAACAAAGAGCTAAAAAAAAAAAAAAAGCAAAAGCAGTTTTTCAAGCTTGATAATGTATCCGACCCATGGAGCAAGCACTGTGTCATTTATTTACACCCGTTAAATGCCGTTTTCCATACTTCTAATATCATGACAATCCTGTTGCTTGTGTTGCCTGTCGTTTTTCCGATTTTTATGAGTGATAGAAATTTTCTCAAACCCAGCAGACTCCCATGTGTCGGAAATGAGATTCCGAATTTTTTTTTATATTTCTGACAAAACTGGAAATACTTGAGTCATTTTAGTCATGAAAATATGACGTCATACTCAGAATAATGTAAGTTTGGATACAAAGTTAACAGTAGTTCAGTGGCATGGAAATTGCATTAAATTCTTGTTTATAATTTTTTCAAGTAACTCGTTGCTATGTTTAAACATCATGTTTAACCAAAGAGGATATTGGGAGATATGAAAAAAATTTCACGTTCCATAAAATTCTTTTTAAACATTTATATATAGGGGTCCCAAAATTATAGAGGGTTTGAGAGGGCAACCGGCGATTTCTCACCCCCTACTTGTATCAATCTCAACGCCTACTTTGGCTACTAACATGTAAGTTGTAAAGCTTAAAAAAATTAAGACCGAGGATTTTCTTTCATTTAAATGAATTACAATCACATACAAGCACCTTAATAGTTTTCAAAGAAGAGAAGTGTTACCTTATTTGAGTGTAACGATCCCTAATTTAATTTGGGGCCAAAATGAAATGGGGATCGAAAATCGGGAAAACTTTCAATCTAAGACGATGGATAGAATTACGGGTTACTTTGCTAAAAAGCCCAGATTACGTAAATCTGAATGTTTTTTTAGATGTATTTGAGGATTAGCACGAATTGTTTGTTGTGTAAACAAAACGATGAACACAATTTACAGAACAAACCCAAGGTTTACAACAAAGATCCTGCAGTCCGATTCAAGAAAACTGCTTCAGAGGAACAGAGAAATTCCGCTCAACATGGAGGAACCATACAAAGGGAGATAATGAAGTGATGGCAAATACAGTACTGTGGCTGGTGATCTGGAGGACTCCACACCTGCAAACAGTGAGATAATGCATAAATTCGTGTCAAGATAACCAGCGAACTGCACGCCTTGGATGATGATGTCTCCAAATTGTCCAATGTGGTTACTTACAGATGGAGCCAGTGTTATGCCAGGGAAATTAAATGGCCTGTGTGCACGACTGAGAAAGGAGTTTCCGTAGCTCATTTCCGTTCACTGTACATGTATTTGCCATCATTTGACATACGCATGTATCAAATCATGTGATCAAACAGCATATATGAAGAAGGTATCAGACTACCTGCGATAATTGTGGAATTTGGTTTTTTTTGTTTTTTTTTTTTGAGGACTCTCCTAAGGGAACAGTAGTTTTAGTAAGAGTGCAGTTAGAGATGGCTTACTGTTCAGTTAAACTCCTACAAAAGGCCAGGAAAGCTGTCGTGCAGAAGGTGAAGAAGGCTTAATCAACAAGATGGTTGTTGTCCTTTGGGGCAGACGTGAATGGGCTCTTTATGGACCTCCATCCTACAAACCCTAAGAGAAATGAAGGATGAAGTCATTGCCAAAGGTCTTCTTGCCAAAATGCATAAAATCAAATGTATCTGTTTCATACTGAAAGATGAAATGTACTACCAATCATGTCTTCTCTCAATCGAATATTCCAAGCAGGGACTATCAACTTTGCCAGGATTGAGCCAACTTTATAGAAGATCTCTCTTCAAGAGTAAAATAGATGATTGATTAATTGTTTGTTGTTTATCGTCCCTTTCGAGATTTTTTCGCCCTTTTGTGTCAGCACCTACTGCGACACGGGACCTCGGTTTATACGGTCTCATCAGAAGGATCGGTATCCACGTCCCGCAGTGGGATTCGAACCCGCGACGTAAGGAGCAGCTCCTTACTCCGCGACTCTAGAGCAACTCTAGAGCAGACGCTCTAACCACTGCGCCAGGCGGGCGATTAGCAAAATAGAAATGACAGCAAAAGTGAGGAAGAGTGTATATATTGGCAAGTTTGATATTTAATGTGCATTCAGACTCTTACCTATATATTTCTAAGCGATTTTGATTTACTAGGCTTTCAGCTCGACGGTATGTTCTATATTGAGAAGTGCCTTCCAATGGGGGTTCTCTTTATCTTGCAATGTATTTGGAAAAAAATTGCTACTTTCCTTCATTGGGTAACTTCAGAAATTAGTGACGTCCAAACTTTGAAGTATTATATCGATGATTTTACGTTTGCATGTGGCACAACTTCTGCTCTAAGGTAATGCAGACTTCAGGAAAATTTGCTGCCAGCTAGGGTCCCATTAACTGAAAAAAAATCTGTGGGCCCACCTTTAATTTTGTATTTTTAGGTTTTGAAATAGACACCATTGAAATGTTTGTTTGTTTATTGTTTAACGTCTCTCTCGAGAATTTTTCACTCATATGGAGACGCCACTACTTGCCGGTGGAGAGCTGCAAATTTTGACCTATACTCGGCACTTAGGGCCATTGAGCAGTGAGGGATCTTTTTCGTGCCAGCACCTTCTGCGACACGGGACCTCGGTTTATACGGTCTCATTCGAAAGACCGGTGTACACGTCCCACAGTGGGATTCGAACCCGCGACGTAAGGATCAACTCCTTACTCCGCGACTCTAGAGCGAACGCTCTAACCACTGCGCTACGCGGGCGACACCATAGAAATGATCGTAAGAATCTCTTCTAGAAAATGTGTCCATGTTGCAAACACATGAATAAGAAAAAGATTACACTTAAAGACCTCATGTCCCTATAAAGAAAACCTACTCTCTTTACTCGGGCAGCTGCATCAGGGCCAGCTTTCGTAAGACGCCTATGCAATGAAATATTTGGGGTTTACCATTAACACCACTACATTAAAATAAGTCAGGAAATGGGAGAAGACATGTTAAAGTGGTTAAGATGCTTTGGCCAGATTTATTTACCGGAAATTGAGTGGAATTCGACTGAGGTCTTAGAGCTTTTTACAGACAGCACTGGTTTGGGATCATTAGGTTGTGGTGCTTACTTTATTGAAGCTTGGTGTAAATTTTCTTGGCCCAGTGACCGATAAGGAACTCTTAGATATGAAAACACTTGAACTGGTCCCTATCGTATTAATTGGATATTGCTTATGGGCGATAACTTAACAAATATCTCGCTAAAATTGAATATTGCTAACAATTTATTCCGCATCGGCTTTTAAAGATATCTTTGTTGACATTATAGAATCGCTAGAATTTTTGGGATAAATCGCTAAATTTTCGTCTCGCTAGAAATTCCACTTATACTGTATTTGCTGCATGATGCAATTTCTCGTAAACAGTGGCGTCGCCTCCGCTTGGCTGCACAAGATACCCAGAAGCACCTTTGCCAGTGTCACTGAAATTTCAGAAGCTCTTCTCCAGTTTGAAATAGGAAGACTCTTACAAGGATCTAAATCACAAGATGAAAACACACCAAATGAGTTTAAAGGCATACTTTAATTTTTGTAATAGTCAAGGTTTAGGTAGTCCATGGCGGACTACTTTAGACATCGCATGGTGTGGCTTGTCCCTATGTGAACTTAAGTTTTGGGGGGTTCAACCCAATCTTGATGGTCCACTATTTTGGCACTTTGGAAGGTGACCAGATACCAGTTTAAGGGCTATGTTGACAAAGGCCATATATTAGCTTTGAACATCCCAGTCAAAGGTTACATTCTTTTAGAATTGGAGTAAGTACCGATCAAGCGTTAAGTGGTTCTAACCAGAAATCGAAGTCATCAAAACTTCTGGTAGATGGAGGTCAAAAGTTATAAATCATATGAGTGTATTCCTAATTTTAAGTCGAGCAAGCTTCTTTTTCAGATTCACAATTTATTTTGTTATTAGGTTAATCTATTATTAAGAGAGCTTTCACAGAAGCAGCAAAATTGTTGCTAAAAAATATATTGAAACTATTGTATTGATTCAAATGTGAATTCATGATATAGGAAAATGAAGAATTATTGAATATTCTACAACAAAAAAATCTTATTTCTTACTTCTATGGTACAAAGAACAGTAATTTATTTCCCCTAAGATACGAAATTCGGTTCATCGCCAAATTCATTATACCGCCATAATTTCGAAATTACGAAAGGCGGCAGTGTATTGAGGACTGACTGTACTTAGGTTTAGTTATATATTTTCATTTTTTTTCTTTTTAAAAGTCATATAATTTGAAAATTCTTAGGAATCGCGCCTGTGTCCACCAAGCTCCTTCCTGCGACCATGTCCACTCGCTATTAAACACATTTTATATAATTTATATCATTTCATTCATATAAAATACAATACATTGTTCTCCTACAAATCAACCGTTCACGGTAGCTCAGTCGGTAGAGCACTCGCTCCGTGATCGGGAGGTCGTGAGTTCGAATCTCGGCCGCGACTGACCTAAGTCGATAAAAAATGGGTAGCAACTGTTCCTTCGCCATGCGCTCGGCACTTTGAAGTGAAAGTTGCGGGTCTTTCGGATGAGACCTTAAGAACCGAGGCCCCATGTCACGGCAGGCATTGGCACGATAAAGATCTCTCACTGCTCAATGGCCCTGAGTGCCGAGTAAAGGTCAAAATTTGAAGCCCTTCACCGGTATATGGTGACGTCTCTATATGAGTGAAAAATTCTTGAATGGGACGTAAGACAACATACAATCAATCCCATACAAATCATCTCAAAATTAAGATCCACCAATTGTTTATCCTTCGCATTGTATTTCCTCAATACGGGTTGACGACACGGAACCGGTTTCTTTGGGCAACGCAGATAAACTTTTTAGCAATGGGAAATTTTATCTTAATTGAGAGATGAAATTGAAAAGAGGAAAATCGTCATTTTCAAATTTTACCTTTACTAACGTTGCCAAAAAGGGAGCAAGTATAAGAAGAAATAGCAATAGCGATTAAGTTACTACCATAAAGAAAACGTATTACAGCGGGACAGTAGATGAACTGAAAAAAATGGACATATCTTAGTGGTCAGAGTAAAAAATCGCAAGTAACAGGCCGGAACAAAGAAACAGAACGAGGAACATTGCCTTCTCATATCCGAATTCAACGTTGCAATAATTGGAAGTCATGCATATCCTGAACCCAGGGAGGGATTGACAAAAGAACATGGGACTTAGAGGAAAGCAGTAACAGTAAGTCTCGGTGTCGGAATTCATCACACCGCAAATGTCAACAGAGGTATCGACCTCACCAATAGATAATCACTTATTAAATGTCTGTATTTTCATCTTAAATGTATGTGCAGCTGTTGTGTGCAATTTACTAATATATCAAGACACCGCAATATCAAATTGTCTGTCTGGGTGTATGCCGGTATGGGCCGGTAAAATGGGACAATACTTATATTTAGCATGCCTTTTTTCGTGTGTGATTCATCGTGTGTATATATAAGTACAACTATATAATTTATCAAATTAAATACACTTAAGGAGGTATTAAGGTTGTAAAATGCTAGGAATAGACTTTTTGTGAAATACTAGGGCTCATTCTGAAAAAAAAATTCTGGACTGACAGGCTATTCACCTCAACCAGTCCAATATTTTAGAATGATCTAATTTTAATAATAATATTCGCTTGCGAGAAAAATCCGCGAGCTTCGCGACCTACTTTAACTCGCAAATATTAATCGCCGCGAACCATTTACTTTGCTTTGTATTAGTAAAGAATGTTTCTTCAGTCGCAAAAATTAATCGTCGCGGATTGATTTCAAACTGACGAATCGAGAATAAAAGATGACGCGAATAATAGTTAGTTAACAGTATCCCCTACATTAAGTTGACGAATGAAAAAGATCATGCTTTTATTCATAATATTAAGACAGTGGAACAAGAACAGGCTACGTTAGAAATATAATTTTTATCATTTCCATCCATTTAGGTCAATTCAATTAAATGGTATTACAAAGGAGTGCATGTTTAATGTGTTATATGTACCTTAGCATGCAGCAATTTAAATCTGATGCTTTCATGGACGCCCGCGCATAATCGTACCAATTTCGTTAACAAATGTTTTGACTTGGATGGAAATGTCTAAATTCTCAACTTTCAAGTATGCTAGTAAATGTTTCACAGTCTTACATCAAAAAGCAGGTAGTAAATATGGTTAAACTGAGTCTAATGTATCTAGCAACCAAAGCTTAATAAGCAGTAGTTAAGACGGGAGTGCTTCGACTCATGAGAAAACAGCCTAAAATATTACAGTAATGTGATTTCAGTATTGCACTGGTGACACTATCATTAAGTTCCTAACTTTATGTATTTTGAGGAATTAAAAATTAATGCAATTCTAGAAAAGGCTCTTTTATCGTTGTTTCTTGTATTAAAATATTAATAAATTAACGCAATCAAGTACATTTTCTGTTTTATTCAGTAAAAACATTGTGTTTTAAGATCTACAGCTCTAACGCATTTTTTGTCTGAGTAATACAGCCACTAAATGAAGAAGTATTTGCAGTTAAAGTGATGGATTGGAAGATGGGGTGACAGGTAAATGATCAAAATCTGAAAAAGAAGAGGAATATAATGTTAAAAAAAGCTACACTTAGGAAATTTAAAATAGGGATCAATGCAAGCCTAAAAAATCTTAGCTCACGTAACTTTAGTCTGGAAAAATTAAAGAGAACTTCATTTCAAAAACATTTTGCAAATAGACAAAGAACTACACACGCTAACTCTTGATTCCTGCCTACATTTTACACATTCAATACTAATGGCAACTTGGCCGTAAAATCTTTGTTGAATGCAAAGAACAGTTCAATGGTAATTTACTGATTATTTTAATGTCAGTGTTATATAGTTAAATACCCCCTAATTCCAGCTCTTTAAATAAGGGAGGTGGACGATATTATCCATTGAAATTGGGCTTTAAAGCATCAACACATTTTGAAATATTCTTGGATATGAATAAATGTTCCTTAAATCTTTTCGTACGTATTAACCATATAAAATTAAACATATATTATTAATAAAATACAATTTTTCAGTTGTAAAACCCTTTGAATTTGGTGAAAAATAAGCATTTTTGTAGTTTTTTGTCTGTAAATATATGCTCCCCCCCCCCCCGTGAAACACAAAAAGCTTTAGTATGAATTTGTGAAATGACAGTCCATAATACCTGTAAAAAGGAATTTTTGTTTCACGGGGGGGGGGGGGGGGAGGAGGAGGAGGAGGAGGAAGATGTTTTAAAAATATTTTCCGTTTTTCCGTTGATTTCTATAGTGAAAAACACAAGTTTTACCAAAATTATAGAGTTATCTCTCTTTGTTTTCCCAAGGAAGTATTGTTTTATGAAAATTCATATAAATATCTATATAAATATGAAAAATCATTCAAATGTGTTAATTTTTGAAAATTGACTTGGAGGTAGGCGGGAGAACAATGCTATCGTTCGCAGTTCTTAAAAAGATTGAGAATATGTCAACGAATAATGTTATTATTTTGAGACCCCAATATAAGCTTTACGATATTTCATGATTAATACCTCCTGAGCAGATTCCGCAGAATTTCCTGCAGTTTCTGTTTCTAAATAACCGGTACAGGTTGTTTGTACACATATCGCTTTGGTATTCATCACAGTTTGGTAGTACATCGTTACATGGTATCGTTGTTGTTAAAACTAAAAGATAAGTTAAAAAAAAATCGCTTTATCCAGGAATGGCACTCTATGCTTGTTTGTGTTTTTTGCTCCTTTTTTTTTTTTTTAAATTATTAGCATTTTAAAAAAACAATCACCTTTATTTATTTTTGAATTTCACATATCTATGAACATTATTTGCCACCGTAATGTGCTACATAGTTTATTTTGTCTCATATTATACCTACCTTGACAATACCCGCAATAGGCTCGGCAGTTCTGTTTTGCCCAAGGTGCATATATACCATTTTCGTCACAAACACGGGTAAAGTTATACAAGATACACTGAATATCTGGATTATCTTCACACTCTGAAAACAAATAAATTAATTTTTAAGAAATAATCAAAATATAGACAGAGAACTATATCACGTTATGTAAATATAAATAGTATAACCATTCCTATATAAGTGTACCCCCATTCAAAATGCTTTTGATTTCTTTTCTTGCAATAACGTTCTTGGCCAGTTTTATTTAAATAAAAAGTATTCTGTGCATGCTACAAAAATAAACTGGAAAAGGGATTAATTCTACAATGTCAAGTCACAGTTCTTCAAGATTTGCACGTCAATACAAGTTTTACGAACGTTCTACGTATAAAATATGAAAATATACTGATCAGATTTTGATTCAACGTGAAATCTGGCATGTACTGATCGATATCATTATGATGATACCATTTTAATAAACAGCACTATCTCATATAAAGTTTATATAGTAAGACTACTCACTACTGGTGTCGGCAGTATAACCATTAGTCACACTCAGATCTGGAGTGTTGGATGCTATGTAAAAAAAACCCGTTTGTAATGTGCAATTTCTATTCATCGGAGAATTCATTGTTAAAAAAGTTTTGCATTTAACATTTTTAAAACGAAAATTTACCATTTTTTTGGGGAACCTGCATCTCTGTGGTGGTTTCTGCATTACTAGTTGGTCGCTTTGTAGGGATACCTGGTGGTGTTGTGCTAGGGTTTGGTAAATCGCTACTACTTACGACTGGTGTGCTGACTTCGTTAGGAGGACTGGTGGTGGATACAGGGGCCTTAGTGGGTGCTATAACTGTAGGAAAATGTAAAAATAATGCTATTTATGTGAAAAGAAGTTTCATATAGTCACTTTAGAAGTTTTAGGTGGGAAAATAAACAACTTGACTTCAAATTAAGCATTATAGTATGATATAGAAAATGAAATTCATGTAAAGCTTTCAAATAATGCTATTGAAAAAAGATATATGTGAATATGTGTTAACTAAAATCCCGATTTTTTAAAAAACAGTTGAGGATGGAAATCGGTAATGTTGATGTCTAAAAGACAAAATTTTGATTCATACACCATACATATCAATTTTTGATTTATAAAGTCAAAATATTTTAAAACAAAGAATGTAAAGTATGGAGATTAATTATAGAGAAAAGCTACTCTATAAAGACATATAATACGACCATATCAAATGAAAACTTAACAAATTTAAGTTTTATAAAAACGAAATTTAAAAATATCTTGGTATATCTCATATTTTAAAAAAACAAGAATGCTTTTAAGACGCAGACTTCAATGTCGAAATCAACATGTAACAATTTATAAAGAAGTATCAAAGCATTTGTAAAAAGAGCCATATGTGCGAAAAGTAAGCTAAGCCACATTTGCGTTGTAAAAAAATTAAGCAGTCCCCAGGGAGTTTATTTCACAAAAGTTTTCTCAATGCTTAAACTTACTTTCATTCTGTATTAATTGCCATAACTGCCTTCTTTTTTAAAAAAAAAGATGGTTATTCAATGCAAATTAAATATTTGTAAAGAGACCATTGTTCAAAGTCTTAGTCTAGACATGATTCACGAACTTAATGTTGTGCAGTGGTAGTCTAGTCACGGTTCACGAACTTTACCTGTTGTACCACTGCCATTATCGTTGGTGACGTCAGTAGACCCTTAAAATGGATAGAGAAAAATCCAATCATTATAACTTATACGCAATACAGAAATACGTTAAATAATCTAAATAAACAGTTGTGCAGGTTCTTTTAAAATAAAATTAGAACAGTGATCCGTATTAATAATCATAACATATGCCAGAATGTCAATCACATTTATTTATAAAGAATGTCATAAGAAATTTAATAACTAACCAGTTGTACCACTGCCATTATCGTTGGTGACGTCAGTAGACCCTTAAAATGGATAGAGAAAAATCCAATCATTATAACTTATACGCAATACAGAAATACGTTAAATAATCTAAATAAACAGTTGTGCAGGTTCTTTTAAAATAAAATTAGAACAGTGATCCGTATTAATAATCATAACATACGCCAGAATGTCAATCACATTTATTTATAAAGAATGTCAGAAGAAATTTGATAACTAACCAGTGGCTGGCTTTGTTGGTACAACCAATGGAGTGGTGCTGCCAGGAGGTCTCTTGGTGGGTACAGCAGAGTCAGTTGAAACTTGGCTTGTATCTACCATTCCAGTGGTCCCTGAACCGTTGTCTGGTTTAGTAGGTGCAACAACTGAAGTTGTTTTAGATGGATTCACCATGTCCGTGGTATTTGGTCCGTTTGGTGATTTAGTTGGATTTACCATTGTTGTGTTATCTGATCCACCATTTTCAGAACTGGTTGTATTTGCACCTGAAGGTACTAGAAGGGAGAGAAAAGCAATAGGCAAAAGCAAAAAAGCATTGTCCTTTGAAACCTTCTAGTTATGCACAAGAAAGTGAAAGCAAGCTTAAAGCAATACCAATCATCCATCTTTATAACACTATAATAATTTACCTGTGCTGTCGGTTGAAACGCCACCTAAAATGTAAAAAAAACAATGCAAAAGTAATTTATCAAAACCTAATTAAGGTTATCATTATGGATTCATAATGTATGAGTAATAAATGCAATTTGTTTACCCTGTCCACAAGTATCAGGTCCACTACCACAAGGAACCGGAACGAGGGAACTATTTCCACCAGCTTGACTGCTTCCTTCTGTTGTAGATACTCCTGATCCATTATCAGGAGTTGACGTTGTTCCGGTTGATCCAGAACCTCCAGCTGTTGTGTTTTGCCCACTGCTTGAGTTAGTGCCTGACCCATTATCAGGAGATACTGTTAACCCAGTTACCCCAGAGTCAGTTGTGTTTCCGGTTCCCATACTTGTTACATTGTCTGATCCAGATCCATTGTCTGTTGTCGAAACAGGGACATTAGTTGTGACTGGTTCAGGAGTAGTTTCATTAGTACTTGGTCCTTCTGTGGTCATCATACCGGACCCATTATCAGGGGTAGTAGAATTAGTATCGGTTTCATTTCCAGACATTCCAGTGCCATTATCTGTAACTTGAGGCTCCATTGTTGTAACCATTTCTGTTGTCGTTTCATTCCCGCTATCTGTTGTGTTATCTACTGGTTCTACAGGAGCCTCGGTTGTTGTCATTTCTGGTGTGGTAGTTTCTGGCTTTTCGGTTGGTTTGGAGGTGACCCAGTGACCTGCAAAACACATTGTTCTTCGTTTTCAGAAATACGCTTTATTAATTGCTTTTAAATATTTCTTAAGCGAAAGATCGACTACTGAACGATATCAGAAGATAAAGGACATATTATAAACACATATATTTGCACAAAAAAGAAAATGTAATCAAAATGTAATCAAATTACATTCTTGGGCCGGCTGTTGCATACCACCATGTTGCATATTTGCTGCAAAATAAGAAATTTTAGGTAGAAAAAATGGTATGACATCATTCCAAAATTGTTATTTTCTGTACCACAGAAAAAAATAAAGTGATTAATAATCAAAATAGATGCATCACGAAATTCACTTTGGTATATAATAACATTCTGGTAATAGTAAGATTGTAATAAAAGAAAGGTCATACTTTCTGGACCAGTTCCAGGAACCAAAAGATTGTTGCATACTTTCTTTGGTTTCTCTGTGGTTGTGGTAGGCTTAGGAGTTGTTGTGGTGGTAGTTGTTGTGGGTTCAGGGGTAGTGGTTGGCTCCTCAGTAGTAGTTGGTGCCTCTGTAGTTGTGGGAGCCTCTGTCGTGGTAGGAGCCTCTGTTGTGGTGGGGGCCTCCGTTGTGGTGGTAGTAGTGGTAGGAGCTTCGGTAGTTGTAGTAGTTGTCGGATGTTTTGTATGTGGTTCGAATGGTACTGGTCCACCATGATTTGCACTGCTTCCGGGAGGCTGAGGGACTTGACGTTTAAGTGCTGCCAAACAATCAATGAACAAGTGAGGAAAGTGCAAATATTTCCAAATTTTGTCAATTTAGAAGAATACAGATCTTAAAAATGGCTAAAACTAAATAGGTAAAATATTTTCTATCACTTTTTTTTTTTTTTTTTTTACCTAGGAACTAATTTTTTTATTCTATACATTGATCGAAAACAATACAAGTCCTAAAAATACATTACATAAAACCTAGAACAATACATTAAATGTATCCTATTGTTACGTTGTCGAAAGATACCTCCCTTCAAGGAGACATTGGCTAAACATTTAAACTACTCTCAGATCACACAAAATATTTAGTTTTATACTAACGAGGAGTAAGTCGTTTGCTTGGAGCATAAGTCCTACCAGCAACTGGTGTGGGAATGTTGACAAATCCTGATAGATACAGTTTAATAATTATAACAAAATGTCAGATTTAAAGTATCAATTTTCTGAATAAGATTTTTCTATTATCTGATCTGAATTAAATTTTCTGATTAATATTGAATAATATTTCTTTTGAGTAAGAAAGGAATCCGAAAGGGAAACAAAGTATTCAAGTTCTATTAATATTAAAGGAGAAAAGTATGACAGAAACCAATGGGAAGATAGGCACAAGTACGGTAATGCTTCATTTCAATGTAGATGAAGATAACACAAATGGATTGCAAAATAACATAGGTAAACATTGGATACAGGCATCAAAGGGACAAATATGAACAAGACATGAATTTCATAAGATTTATTATAATCACTGAACATGAAGAAGCAACGAAGGATGTGTACATACAATGAAGTGTAGGTCGAAATTTCTATTAACAAATTAAACATCAAAATGATATGCAATAATAAATATTGAATGCAGCAGGAATCGGTGCTTTGAAAAGTCTTCTTCCTCAAGAAGTTGACCTTGTGAAAAAACATAAAAACATAGAGTCTGCAACAACGAAGAACATGTATGCTTCCCCTGGAAACATTGAAAGCAAAAATGAAATGATAAGGGTGACTTCTCCTCCTGCCTCTACCTGCGGGCAAAATCATTGGGCCACTTGTTGGCAGTGCAGGTGTGGGCATAGCAGGTGTGGGTACTCCCATGGTACCTGTAAAAATACATTTCCTAGAAAATATGCTGTCTTCGTATTATATATAGAGGAAAAGAAAAAATAACAGATTGGAAATTGAAAAAAAAAAATACGTATTTCCAATCCCACTCGCCATTTTAAAAATAATAAATATACTGTATGCAGTGTCGATTTATAGAGAGTCAGGAAGATGTATGGAAAAATTGACTGAAAAATGTTATGCTAATAATGCATATACATGTACTATTTGCATGCAGTTACATGTATATTAACTTTATCAACTATTTTTTTTTAAGGTTTTATAATAGGGTTTATTAGCATTTTCGAACAAAGGAAGGACGTGCAAAATCCTCGAGCTGAAAATATTGTCCAGGCATGTAGTACCGGGAAGGGACAGGGGTTTTCTTTTTCCTTCTTCCCCCCTCTCCCCAGCATGGTATTTTACTGTAAGTTTATCATGGAAATTGTTATTGAAAGGCATCAACTTTTTGTTAAAAACCGGGTCAATCCCTCCCATGCAGGTTTATGTATCAAGTTTTCTTGTGGGAAAGAGAACATTTTAACAGTATTCATCCCCATGAATTAGGTTTTTTGAGATATGTCAGATTTCCTTTTTTATGTCAGATTTCCTTTTTTATGTCAGATTTCCTTTTTGGCTTGTCAGCTTTTTTTGTAGAAAAGATATTTTGAATCCCTCCACCCCAAATTTAAAAAAAAAATTGAAAGAACGATGCTACATGGCTGTTTTGATAGTGAATAGAAAAACTATTTGTTTACCTAATTATTACTTCAAAATTACCATAATTTATATCGAAGTTGAAAGATATTAACACTTTTTGTCAATATACCGTACTTTGTAGAGTAAAGTTTCATGATATTAATTCAAAGTTTCAGAGTAAAGTTTAAAAGCATCGAAATAAATCAAAGTGAAGGTTCAAGGTTTTTAAGATTTTACTATATATTAATCAATTGTTTACTATAGATAACTTTGTTAAATTTCTGTTTAGAAAATCTTGTATTTGTAACGCTGTTTATTTATTTAAATTTTCTTACTCTGGCCACCAGATGGCGTGCAGAACTGACAGTGAGCTCGGCAATTTTCTTCAGCCCATGGGCGATAAGACGGATTTGTACAAGCCTCACCAGAATAAGATTTACAGTTGGGAATTTTGTCGATACAAGGTGGCGCTGGTGTTGCTAGCCCTAAAAATGGTAAAAAGCCAAAACTATATTGTAGGATCAATAAATAAAACCAATATTACATAAGCAAATAATCAATAAAAAAGTAATATTATATATTGAGAAATAAGCAAATAAACCGTTAATTACACATTTGTAATGGACTTTCAATGCTACAACATACCTATACAGAATTTACATGTATTCATACAGTTATCCTCGGCCCAGGGTCTATATGTTTTACATGCTTGCTGCCCATAATCCTTACAGTTATCCAGTTTATCAACACAACCTATAGTAAAAAAAATGACATTATATGCATTAAATTTAGTAGAATACACCATGAATAGAACACCTGACAATATATTGTTCTTTGTCTGTAAAATTGGAATACTACTTCGAAAAGAATATAATGCAAGTTAATTTGAAATTAGTTATTTGTTCTTTGTTTGTTTTAAACTAAATAGGATCATTCTCTATAAAATCAAGTGTTAAAAAAGGAAATTGAAGGAAAAAAATGTGTAACTCAAAAGAAGCTAGAAAAAGACAGCAAAAGGTTATTAGAGACAGTAACTTATAATTTGAATACTTACGCTCTGGTGGTATAGTTGTAGTCCTGGAATCTGCTGTAAGAAGCTGTTGCGCTGTAATTTTAATTATTTATTTATAAGAGTGAAAATACTACATTAAATTTTATAGGGAAGTTAAGCCATTGATATCTGAACTGACTGTATTTTTCCTTCCTTTCAAATAAATGTAACATTCATTACAAGTATATGTACACGTAGATATAATCTACTCAATTTTAATAATCGAATATTCGTTTGCCATGCATGAAAAAGGTAAACATTTTTTTTATTTCTATAGATTATTTATTCATTTATAATCTTTCTGCTCGAAGTGCACTTCGGAAAGCTAATATAGAATTTTTCACAATACTGTAAAAAATTAAAATATGTTTTTTTTTTCTTTTGCTTTAGCAATGTTGAAAGAAGTAATAAATTTCAAAGGATGTCCGAGAAATAGCAAATTAATCCTACCAGTGCATTGTCTGCAGAAGTAGCGACAGTTTTCCAACACCCAGGGAGCGTATTTTGGGTCACTACAAATTCCTTGCCCATACTGTTTACAATCACTTCTCGTATCAACGCAAGGAGCAGGGGTTGTTGGGGGGCCTAAATTGTACAGACGGTATTGTTTCAATATAAGGAATAAAAATTATCAGATACATTAGTTTTAGATTAGTTTCTTTGTATTACGGGTGCTGCTGAATTGGTATTACAATCTTTCCTGAATGCATTTCAAGGGTTATTAACACATTCTTTATCTAATTACATTTTAATTTCTGTAATTAAAGAAGAGTTTTCAATCAAACTGTACATTTAGATTTACAATGCCCAGTTTGGGAGATTTAAATGTCGTACACACTGTACCTTGACAGAAGCCACAGTATAGAGGGCAATATTCATTTGCCCATTCCAAGTACGGGGCAACACAAGACGTCTTTCCAAATGCAGGGCAGTTGTCTAACTTATCTTTACAAACTATGCAAAAAAGAAAACAATATTAACAAACACTTTACATCCAAATGAGAATGCCCAGATACACTTTAAACATACTTACAAAAAATATTAACTGAACACTGAGAATTAGATATATATATATATTTTTTTTGGTCGCTGATATGCCATTGTTAACGTACATCTACGCATTTGATAATTTTTCCTCCTACAACATTATTTCAAACGAAAACGAAGGCTATAACTACTACAAAGAATACAAAAAAAATAGACAAAGAAAAAAATTAATTTGAAAAAACCCATAACTGTGTAATTAGTTCTTCATTTCTTCGTTCCTCTTCAGAAAAAGTCGCGATTGAGGATAGCCTCGGTTTGATTATTTCCTTTGGTATGTCTTCTAGATGTCGATAATATCCCCTTTTCATGAATTTTTCATTGGTGATGGTCAAACTGGCGGCGGATTATTCCTCAAAATTTCAAGGACTTACTTTTCCGATTTTTTGGTTTTTTGTCGAGGTCAAAATTCTTATCAGTTTCAATGAAATGAGTATTCTTACCAGAATTTTGTGCCGCAGGCGCTGGGGCATTTGTTCCAAAATGAAGACTAAATTGTGCATTTACACATCCCGCCAATATGGCGCTAGTTAATAAAACACAGAAATTCATTATTTGTTCTATAAGTTAGCTAAATGCTGCCGGTGCGATTCCCGTGATCCAATGCAGCTAAGTGAACGAAGGGTGAGTCTTTGAGTATACTGTGGGCGATAAGATAAGACCACCTGTTTAATTCTCCTATTGCATTCTGGGACCTATCTTGGTGACGGCTTAACTATGATCGAATTTGCTAGGGGTCCTCCGTTTTATACAATCCAACGAAGTCATTGCACTTGAATTACCCATATTCCCTGCGCCATTTTCTTTTGAATGGTCACTGTTACGCCTGTTGACGTAAATTGTTGCACTCGGTAGTACTATATGGACTTGTCAACAGAAAAGTACCTATTGTACTCCCTTAAAGACGGAATAACTTTCCTTTTGTTTATAAATTTGTAGTCACGTTGTAATTCGATTTCTAAAGGGACGAAAATTTTGGAATCATGTAAATCTGACTGAAGGAATTATATACTTAAGACGAGTTAGTTTCTGCGGGTTACCAGATTTTAATAATACAACAAAAATTCCGAAAGGGGGTTATCTTATAAAAAGATGACAAACGCAGTGTCGAAAGGGGATATTTTACAGATGTATGTAATTTTAATTCTTCAGGTTGTACATGTATGGTCCAATTAATCTTTTTCATTTCAGCAAATTATGATTTATCACAGAGTATTTACAGTGTTAAAGTTTCACCCTTTACGAAAATTACACGTTCAAGTTCGCATCTATTCCAGAGGAAAAAAAATAATGGAGGGTTAAAAAAGATGGATAAAATAACTTGATAATGTATTCATTGATATATTATCATTATTAAAATTTTATTTCATAAATAAAAATCAGAGAACATGTACTGGAATATATAGATGACTACATATATCATTTCGTGTTTAATTTATAAATTTCAATATTTTTTGTAATAAAATGAATTTCAATGGTTTACAAATTAGTGCATAGTATGCATATTTGTTTCATGAAATATATGTTTGGATGTACCTGACGGATATAAGGCTTTTCTCAAAAAAATTTAATTATACCCAAACTCAATAATTATAACCAGACAGTTAATAATAATAACTTTCAAATTAATGGAGCACTGCTTTTTATGACACATGTTTGACTGTGCCATTGGGAGTTAAATTTGTTTTCTTTGATTTTTTTCTCCCCTTAAAAAAAAGAAGCTATGAATTAGGTATGGACTAGGTAGTGAATGCATGTCAGATATCATTTTATCGTAATTTAAAAAAGCCATGTATTAGAAAAGCATTTAACTATTTGTAAATACAAATAGATATTTTGTACCGATGTTTCACATGTTTGAAACGTGCTGTTATAATCTGCATAAAAGAAACGGACGTTAACTCAAATTCATTGAAATATCTATTGAAATTGTGAAAATTAGTACGAAGTCAAGTACTTGGTTACATGGGACTTTATAGATATCACCACAATAATGGGTCGTCTGCAGAGAATTCTTGCAGAAAGTGGGCCAAAGTGACCGGAATTTATAGAACAAGTTTTATAGTAAAGATAACACTGAACTGGAGAATGAACGCTAATGAAATGCTTTCCCGATCTCTCTATCTCTCTCCAACTCTTCTAATTTGTATGTTCCAGTTGATGCATGAATGTAAAGAACGTACAAGTGTAACAAATTGCTGAAACCCGTATATTTGATTTTCGTTCTATACTCATTTGCCCTTAACAATGATTTTAGCAACATACATCTCTAACTTTCAAAGCCATGACCATGATTTGTACACCTAACATGTTATAGAATTTGACCTGAATTGTATGTACATGTGTATATGACCAAACACTGTACGCATTTTTCATTTGTCTTTTGAAAATCTTCGTATAAAGAGGCAACCATGTCGCTTTGCTCAAGATCTTGCAAGGAAAACTTTAAATTGTACGAATGATCTGATACAAAAGTAGGACACCAAATATCCTGTCACATTAATACCTGTATTATAATACCAATGTTCTAGAGTAGGATTTCCCCCATTTTCGGCTTTCACCCCAGATTTTATACTCTAGAGTAGGACTCCCCTCCCTCCCTCGACCCCGATGGGAAATCTCACACAAGAGCAAAATTTCCCCATATTTCTTTCTCAGAGTAGGATTTCCTCTATTTTTTCAATGCTATCAGTTGGTTCAATACGCATTAGCATGCTTTTTGTATAAACAATTTTTAAAACATGGTAAGTTATAGACAAACAAGTTGATGAAACAAGAATTTCAACAGTCTCGTTTAAAGTCATCATTTCATAAGTCCTATGGTCCATACAATGACCTTGTCAGCAAGTACAATCTATCATTAAGTCATATGCTGACTGAGTTTTTCATACTAATTTTAAGGCCATTATTTACATCTGAATTGTCGATGGATGTTTCCGTTATTTCCCGATCATGACAAGGTGCACATGGCGGGTGTGACCGTTTGACAGGGGATGCTCACTCCTCCATGGCACCTGATCCCACTCATGTTTGGGAGGTCAGTGTTTACCTTGCTCCCGATTTGTATTGTTTTGATGGATTTTGAGCTTGAATACTGTTCGCTATCTCCATCTTTCATCGACAATATTTTGACTAAATGTTTGAAAGAAATTGATTTTTTAAATGGAAATATGAATGTTTTTTACTCAAGAAATTGTTCAAATTAAGTGTGAAATCTTAAAATGTATACAATCACGTAATGTAGTTTTCAAGTTGATTCAATACGCAAGAGCATGCTCTAAGTACGAGCAATTTTAAAAAGAGATAAACTATTGACAAATAAGTTGACGAAACAAGAATATCAACAGTGTCGTTTAAAGGTAACATTTCGCAAATTCTATGTTCGGTACAATGACCTTGTTAGTAAATACAATATATCATTAAGTCGAATATTAATTGACTGATGTTTTTTCATACCTATTTTTAGGCCATTATTTTCACACTGAATTGTCTACGGATTTTTCCGTTCGCCCGATCATGACAAGGAGCACGCGGCAGGTGTGACCACTCGACAAGGGATGTTTACTCCTTAATGGCACCTGATCCCATCTCTGATGTTTTTAGAGGTCCATGTTTTCTCTTCTCCAATTTGTATTTTTTCAATGGACTTAGAATGATTACTGTTCGTTATTTTCATATTTCATAGCTCAAATCTGTGTGTCTCAATCCAGAGTCAATTTTAACTCATACGCAATTGTAAAATTAGTCACTCAAAAAATCGGGAAAAAAATCTCGATCTCTTGACACAGTGGTACCTGTTTGTTTAAGAATTTTAAAATGTTTATCAGGTCACTTTTAGAAATTGAATAATTTGTTTGCCCTCAAAGGTCCAATATTTTATCTATGGATCTGTGCTTTTTACAAATTGTATGTGAGAAAATTCTAGCATTTATGTTATTTATGGGTTCCATATACAATTTTGTGAGTATTTGAATCGATTTATATTTCGAACGAAAAAAACCTAAACACCAAAACAAAACAATACAAGAAACACTGCTCTTGCAAGCCATTTAATAAGTATGTGCCCTTGATCTCTTGATGTAATATTGAATTAAAAAGCAGAGAGCAAATACTCTCTTAAAGTTTTCCAAAATTTCAATTTTTCAGATATTGGCCCATTTTTAGTTTTATGGCAAGCGCAGCTATTTTGGATATTTAATCACAGGCACTTGTTTCGGTAATAAATTTTTAACCCATAGTATAATAATAACATGGGTTAAAAATTTATTACCGAAACAAGTGCCTGTGTATTTAATCCGAGAAACTCAGAGAGACGCTTACACATCAATACAATGTACATGTAGTTTGAAATAAAATTGGAGAATATTATATCAAAAATAATATTCCTCCTTTTTTGTTTCCATGGCTACAGTTAAAAAATTATTACATTGTACCATAATTTTGATTATTTTCTTTTTAAAATCAGTTTGACAGAGAAAAAAGGAATATGAACAGGTTGGACAGTTACTGAAAAAACAAATTAAAAATTTTCAATTTCATACTTCGTATGTTTCATTGGAACTGGTCGCCATTTTGAAAATTTAAATGATGAATGCATAATTTGACTTTTCGATAATTATTTTTCTGAAGATTCATTAAAATTGTCTGCTGTGGGAAAATTATAGAAGGAACACTTGTAACAATGTGTTTCCCCCTTCCCACTCTATATAATATATAAGTACAGACACGATATTTCACTGGGGGAAATGACACTCTATAACTATTATACAGACTAGGATTTCCCTAGGAAAACTGAATCTGATATGGAATTTCCGTAGGGGAAACTCTACTCTAGATTTTTTTTCTGCGGAGAAAATTCTACTCATAAGAGCTTTTCCGGGGGGGGGGGGTTGGGGGGGGGCGGTTATTCTGCACTAGAGCCAGTTTTTCGGGGAGAAAGATTTTAGAGGAGAAAGACTACTCTACAAGACCGGTAAGTTTTCATAAACAAAGTATTGGAATTTCACACAGAAAAGAGTATCGACCGAGCACAAAGTGCGACTTTTCTGTAAAGTCGATATGTCTATGGATTGACTTCATGATAGTATATATTATTTTTTAAAGAAATAGATCGAAAAAATAAATAAATAAAATAATAATTATGCGTATTTTTTAGCACATAGAAACTAGAGATCAAAATAAAGTACTAAGCTGTTTTAATGTTACTGCCTTTTCTTTTTACTGAAAAAGTAATTTAGGGAATGTACCAAACCAAAAAGGTAATTTTGTTTAACTTTTTGCTTCAATTTATGATAAATACATTAAACATCTGTGTTTATAATATAGTGTAGATGCATATTATACCCACTACATCAAAATTAAAAACAGGAATGGAAATAACAGTTTTTAGATACTGATGTATCTTACTATAGTGAGGTCACCATAGTTCTTTACAGAAGATTGTTTCTATTTAGAAACATTAAGTCAATATGCTTTTTCCAGAATCTTTAAAAAGTAACACAAGTCGATATGTTGTTATAATGTCATGTGACCGAGTTTGAGACAATCTTAGAGCTGCAAATAAGAGTTTACAGAGAAAAATAATTCTAGTCATTATTATTTTCCTTTATAAGCATATAAGCATCTTAGGAACTGGGTGCTTTTATTCTTAGCTTTAAAAAAAAATTATAAACCTGGTGTCCAATCGATAGCGATGACGTCACTATGTTCAATTTTAACTAGATCTTTCTA